TTTCTTTAAGATCTTCTGGGGAAGGACCTTACCTCTGCTGGAACACAGATGTTTTGATAATTTGCCGGTAGTGCCATGTGCTTCTCACGGCAGTTGTCGGTGCTGGAGGTTCTTGGGTGGGGTGTTTTGCAGGCCGTGTTTTCGATCGTAATAGGGAAGTGGAGACCAACAGTTGATCTCTGTTCTTAAAAAGCTCAACTGTTTCACTGATAGGCAAGAGCAGAATAGCGACTAGCTGCTATTGTCTTAGCGTATAACTGCCACCCTGCTGTCCTTCGTGTCTCTGCTCAGGTGTGTTTCAAAGGAGTTCCCTAGGCCAAAGAGAACCAACGGCTTCCCCTCTGGCCTCTGTGCTAGCAGTTAGGGCATCCTTTCTCAGATGAAACATTTTTTTTCTGCTTATTGGTTGCCGAGGAGTAGATAGTCTCGAGAATAGATTCTTTCATCCTTATAGTCCTCTACAAGTTTAGGTTTTGGGTTAAATGCCCAAAAGTCTTGCCTTGTCTCTGCCCAGTTCATATATTCTTTGAAGCAATGCTGGTCTGTATCATTGAGCTTTCTACTTCAGGACATACTGCAGACTATGCAGGGCTTAATTTTGTATGAGTCCTCCCCGCTCCACTCTTTCGTTACATCCTGCCTGGTTACTCAATGGCACGTGGCAGCAGAAGCCTTTGGGATGTCTTTTGTGAGGCTGTACCTCGGCAGCCTCTAATCCCTCCTTGGAGGGAGCGCGTGGCCAGGCAGATGCCAGCTCACCTTTGGCTGACAGTTCCCTTGGTGCAGGTGAAACAATCCCTGTTTGTGCTGGAGGAGCTGGTAGGGAAGGGAGTGCCCTTGAGCTCCTTCCACCATCACCAAGCAAGATGAGGAGGATTATTTCCAGGGTGGGGCCAGTCAGATCTAAAAGCTTAGGGCTACCATCTGCAGAAAGCAGCCGTTTCACCTGTGTCCTGGCACTTGGAGGGCAGGGCGTTTGTTGGCGTTTCTGCACTCAGGGCGTTTGTTGGCGTTTCTGCACGCGCTGCATCTAGGCTGCCGTGCACTGGGGTGTCCACTGTCCTGTTTTCAGCGAGCAGATCGCCTGGAGCTCTTCTTTTTATAGGCAGGCTGCAGGCTTTTATCAGAGAATATCAGATTTGCTACATAATAGTGTATATCCTAGATATTTTGGACACCTTAACAAATCTCTGTTTATCCTTCTAAATGAGAAATAGGAAATCCAGCCAAATGTCCTGGAATCTCTCCTCTGTGACTGGAGTGTTTCTGAGATAAACTTGTTTGCCCCACATGCCATCAGGAGGTTCAAATTTTCTGCTCCTGAACTGGCTGCTGCAAAACCTCTTTTGGGTATTTTTCTAAGTTCAGTGGTCTTCTTACTGTTTCCTTTGTCAAATGCCAATGCTTTCCTGGTGCTTGTGTAATTACCTCATTTATACACAGTCAGAGCTGAAGGACCTGGACTGGCCTTTGTTCCTTGTAGCTGGCCGTTATGTTGGCATAGCCCTGTTTGTCAGCGTTCACCCCAAGCAACTTTGAACTTGAAGAGCTCTGGTCTTGAAGCAGGAAAACACTGAGCTGGCTGAAGGAAAGGTACGAGTCATAGAATCATAGCATGGTTTGGGTTGCAAGGGACCTTGAAGATCATCCAGTTCCACCCACCCTGCCCTGGGCCGGGACACCTCCCACCAGCCCAGGTTGCTCCAAGCCCCGTCCAACCTGGCCTTGAACACCTCCAGGGATGGGGCAGCCACAGCTTCTCTGGGCAACATGCCCCAGGGGCTCACCACCCTCAAAGTGAAAAACTTCTTCCTAATAGCTAATCTAAATCTCCCCTCTTTCGGTTTAAAACCCAGCAGTAGGTTCTCCATATCCTGATCATGTATCGTTTTCCTCTGGAGATAACCCTAAGATAACCAGGGGCCAGCTAAAAGGAAAAGGCGGACCATGTAACGGTTAGCAGTTCAGTGGTCGGGTTTAAAGATAACTGGGTTTGGGCCTGTGGGGAGAATGGCATCGTGACTTAGCTGGTAGCCATGAAGTACCTAGTTTTCCCCAGGCATCTGAATATTGTACCAGTTGCTGGGCATGAAGTGATGGTTGTGGTACTGAAGGCATAGGGAAGAGCAGAAAAAGTTCTGCATGTAAAACTTCAGCAGTACCAGAAAGAGAGTTGAGAACGAGCGGTGCTGGTGTGTTGGCTGAGGAGCTGGTACGAGGAGGAGAGGTTCGGATCCTCTGGAACCTGGGGCACTTCACAGAGAGGTGATTCTTCCCCTCTGCTCTGCTCTGGTGAGACCCCACGTGGAGTACTACCTCCAGCTCTGGAGCCCCCAACATGGAAAAGACATGGATATGCTGGAGCGGGCCCAGAGGAGGGCCACAAAGATGATCATAGGGCTGGAGACCCTCTGCTGGGAGGACAGGCTGAGAGAGTTGGGGGTGTTCAGCCTGGAGAGGAGAAGGCTCCGGGGAGATCTTACTGCAGCCTTCCAGTCCCTAAAGGGGCTCCAGGAGAGCTGGGGGGGGGACTTTTCACAAGGGCATGGAGTGACAGGACGAGGGGGAATGGCTTCAAACTGGAAGAGGGGAGATTTAGATGAGATATTAGGAAGAAATTCTTTGCTGTGAGGGCGGTGAGCCCCTGGGGCAGGTTGCCCTGAGAAGCTGTGGCTGCCCCATCCCTGGAGGTGTTCAAGGCCAGGTTGGACAGGGCTTGGAGCAACCTGGGCTGGTGGGAGGTGTCCCTGCCCAGGGCAGGGGGGTTGGAACTCTATGATCTTCAAGGTCCCTTCCAACCTAAACCATTCTATGATTCTAAAATAGAGTGTGATTTTTAAAGAAGGGACTGACTTAATTTAAAGCACTATGGTTTTAGGTGTTTAAAATCTGGAAGGTCATGCTAGCAAGAGGTGAAGTGTACAGGAAGGACAATGTTGGCCGTGTTTGTGAAGATGTGGTGCTATTTATTAAAGAGGTCATAGACTTAAACCTGATAAACATATATCGTAGATGTATATCGACTAAAATGCCTGTGTGAAGAAGCAAAAACCCAGTTATTCCCATCCTGTTTGTTTGGGGTGGTGACTATGATTGAGACACGGAAGTCAGGTGCAGGAAACAGTTGCTGCAGGAGACTCAACCCATGTAGCTTGAAGGAAAGTAGCTTTGGGGTCAAATTCTGAAATATTTTTAGACATGGTTAATGCGTACGTTTACATGAACAAGAGCCCAACAGTCACTGTTAATTTCAAAGATCAGTAACCTAAAAATATGGAAGCTTGTTAAAAACAAACTGAGCAGGGCAGCTCTTTCTGTGGTTCCAGAGCATATGAAGAGAATTACAGACCATGCAAATTAACAGAAATAGAACAAACAAAATGGGTGCGTGCATAAATTCTGCAGTGAGGAAGAAGAGCCTTTGCGAAGGCTGGCTGTGCCCTGTTGAATGCAGACTTCTGGTAAAGATCAGCCTGCCTGGGTTTGCAAAAGCTCTTTGGCGAGGTCCAGTCTCAGAAATCCTTGCGGAAGGTAAAGGAATGGAGGGATAAAGTGAAGGAGCTCTTGTGGTTGTGTGATGGGTTAGAAGATGAGCTGACAGGTAGGAAGCGGGGCAGAGAAATTAATGTCCCGAGCGTTCCTGTCGTGCCCCCTCTCCTCCCTGCAGCTGAGGATGCTCACCTGCGGATTTCTGCAGGGATGTGTGCTACACCTTAATAAATGACCTGGAAGTGAAATTAATAGTAAGACAGTATTTTTTTGCTGATGATATGAGGCTCACTAGAGTTGTAAAATCTGGGGCTGACTATGGATGATAAAAGGAAAGATGCAGTTCAGGCTGGATAGATGTAAAATGATTCTCATGGGGGGAGGATAAATAATCCAAACTTGACACAAAAAATGGTCCCAGAGCTGCCTCTTACAGTGCAGGGACAAGTTCTTAGCGTCCCGGTTCCATGGAAAAATCAGCTCAGTTCTCATCTGCAGTCAAAAAATAAATGGGATAATTGAGAACAGGAGGGGGAGGAAAAGAAACCGAAAGGGAGAACACCATTATACTGTTGTCTGTAATAATCACTATGTGTTTGTGTTGCGAACGATGCCTGCGGTTCTGCTTTCCCCCTGCTCTCGAGGAAGATACAGAACTGGAAGTGTAGCAAGAGTATTAAGCGGTATAGATTAGCTTCTGTACGAGGAACAGTGGAGTAGACTGCGAGTAGTCAACCTTGAGAAGAGACCTTTGGGGAGTGGGGTGCGAAAGAGGACTTTAAAATCCTTGTGAAAGGTAACAGGGAAATGCTATTCCTCTCTTCCAGTTCTGAAAATGCAAGTCCCAGGCAAAACTAGCTTGAACAGTGGTTGAGTGGTGGGGCCGCAGGACGTCGCCTTTTCAAAGAGCTTACGCAGGTTCAGAAGGGGATCAGTTTTAACGGGAGAAAATCTGTTGGGATATGAAATACCGAAAGGCCACCTTTTCCTTAGGAAATTCTGTAAAATACATGTTGGGCAATGAAAGAATGTTCTGGGAAAGTACAACTGTTTGCTCTGTCCCACGCGTCTACCACCGGCCATTCCTGCAGACAATACATGAGGCTAGATGGACATTTGTTCTCACATACTGTATGCACCCATTTGTATTTTTTTACTCTTGTTACTCACCTATATAAATATTTTTTTCTGATATATGTGGGGAAAAAAACACCCAAAACAAATGCAGAAATTTAATTGCTGATTGTGTTCCAGTCCTTTTCCTACCAATGAAGAGCTAAAGAGTAGCTGCGATTGTATGTCGGTCACTAAAGCAGGCTGGCATTTTATCTTGAATTCAAGAGAAGACTAAGAAAGTCTTCTCTTTTCAACATTCTTCCCATAAATGATTTGTGGATTGGTTTTTTTGGTTGTTTTTTTTTTTTCTTTCCCCCGTATTTCTGCTGCAGGAAATCTCACGGATTGGCCGTTCTGTGCTTGACTGATATTTTGTTTGGTTTTTTTTTTTGAAGGTACATGGGAATAGGACTTTCTGCTCAAGGGGTCAACATGAACAGACTTCCTGGTAAGTCACTGTCAAGATGGGGTTTGGCTTACCAAATCTGTGGTAAAGCCTGTGTCAAATGTACATTTGAAATAAAGATTTTAATTGATGTGTATGAATTAGTGAATGTGTGTTTCTATTAATAAAATGTCATGACTGTAAGTGTATTACGTCTGGAAGTTTCAAATATTGAGTGTTATCCTAAACTGAGTTTGTAGTATTACTGATGTAGCCATGATGACTTTAGCAGATAACAGAAATTAATGCTAAACTAAGGAGTAAGGATGATGAACTTTCAGACATGCAAGCTCTTCTTTGCCTCTGAAAAATAAGTAGCAAAATAATTTGACATTTAATCTGTATATCCCACTTGACAAATTTACATGAAAGAATCTGAAAATGACAGGGAAATTGGCCCGTCATGTTGTCTCTCCTCTCTTCTTTCCCTCTTCCCACTGAAAAACTAGAAAAATAGATAGAGTTTCATTTGCAGTTAATACTGTTGCTTCCTTTTGTTTGAAATGTTTGGTTTTATGTTAGCATCTAAGTTGGTTAAGCAGCTTCTTTTTAAAAATAAGTAATCAGCAATCTTTTTGTATAATTTTTAGTTAATACATTGAATACTATTATGATCAACATAGTGACTTCTGTAGCAGGAATTCTTTCAGCTGGGTTTGAAACTAGAAGTTTTGTGTGTTTGGTAGAAAGTAAATGTTCTTCAAGTGCATGAATGGCAGCTGGTTCCCAGTGGTGGTTTGGTTTGGGGTTTTTTTTTTTGGTCTTGAGAGTGGTTTACTTCTGGTGGAGCTATTTTAAAGCTGAAATACACATTTCAGCCCTTATTACACATCTTGGTATCTCCAAAGAAGAATGTTTTCTGAATGTCTTAACAAAAGGAAGAGCTTCCAGAGGGATTGTGCTAAGGCCCTTGTGAATTCACTTCTCAGTGAGGATTTTGCTTTCATCTTCACTGGGAACTTGCCTGTTCAGATAGTGGAACATGCTTGGTTTTTTCCTTACAACCTCCAACTGAAAATGTTGCGGCATTGGAGCAAAATCCCTGACTGCTCTGTGAGCAAAATATGTGATTCTGTAACTCTCAAAGTCCTGACATGTATAGTTCTATAGCTATGTTTCTGAAATTCTGCTGAGACTGCAGAGGGAGTCTCAGCAAGCAGATGAAAAGGAGACGGAGCCAGCTGGGATCCTTGGATAATTCCTGGGAATAGCTGGTTTTCTGGTGCCTTTTAATTGTAAATCTGCTGCTGAATTTTGCAATGGCACATCTGCCTTGTCTCGTTACTGAAGAGAAGCACAGAGATCTTGGAATACATGAGGCAGCATTTGGGACCTTTTGCATTGATGAAGAAGAAATTTGGAATCGTAGGCTAATTGCATTAGTTAATTAGTTCAATTAAAATTTCACTAGTGAAACAATAAGCGTTGTTGTCTTAGTGACAAATGTCAGTGCAGGGTGTGGGCTGTTCAGAAATCACAACCATGGTTCCCAGTTGCAGGCAGACTTCCCTTTTCCAGGTACCACTTTGATCACGTTGGATCGACCCTGAGAGCCTTCTTTTGGCCGCTCTCAGAGGCCCGTCCGGAGACCTCTTGGTCTGACTGGGACACAACCTTCCTTGTGTTGTTTTTTCTCTGGTAATTACAGGCTTGCCTAGAGGGCTTGTGGAACCTCTAACTTTGGAGATATTTGGGACTCAGTGGGACATGGCCTTGACCAGCCTGATCTAATTAGACCTCCTGTCAGCAGGGGTTGGACTGGGTGACTTCTTGAGGTCCCTTCTCTCCTCAGTTATTCTATACTTCTATAATAACTCTGTTTTTGGGAAAATGTTTTCAGTGATGCCCACATTTTAAAGACTTTCCATCTTACTGCAAACTGTATTTGTTAATAATTGTTATGACAACGACAGCATATACGCATTGGAGAGGGAGTTAAGGTCAGAGGGCTTTGTCCACTCGGAACTAGACCGGGGAAGGCAGGACAGTGCCAGTTTTCTCAAGTGATACGTGGTTGCAAGAAGGTAGGGAATGTCCAGATCAAGCTGATCTGGTGCAAACAGGTATAGAAGTCTCAGTTTTCAGACTCCTCCTCTCTCTGCCCTCCCTCTCCCCCTAGTCCTCCCAACCCAACGGCACTGTGTGCGTGTACAAGCTGAAGCATGAGTCCAGTCCCATCATCTCTTCCCATCTCTTCCCCTGCTTGGCTGCTTGGAAGAGGAGTTGTTTGGCTATTAAGGGAGTTAATGTTCTGTTCAAGAAATGACTCTCCGGCTTGTGCAATGGAAAGGTGGGTGGGATTGTCTTGTAGACTTGGCCTGTAGACTGCTGCTTGGAATTATGCTTAACCTAGGAGTCTCCTGGGATTGTAACACAGATATATATAGATATATATAAATATAAAAACCAGGGTTGAATACTGACCTGAGATGATATGTACTGAATGCCATAGGTGTGGTGTCCTGAAATTGAACAGCCAACATATTTTTTTTTTCCCTTTAGAGACTAAAAATTAGCCAAAGCACTTCTGATAAATGGCTTTAAACCCCGAGAGCTGCATGAGCTGGTTTTGTGGCCAGTTTGAATCAAAGTGCCTTTTATTTCTAGGCTGTATGTGGCGAATGTGGAATTCTTTTCTCTGAGTGAAATAAAACATGAAGTGAACTTGAGACTTCAGATAGCCCCTATTTAGCAATGAATTGTGCAAATTTGATCCCATGAACCTGTTGTTTGTTTGATCACATGCAGATGATGCTGCCAAGAATGATTCTGCGGGCACGGTTAGGTCAATCTCCCATCGTCTCTGTAAAACGAACTGCATGGCTCTGTATTACAGCTCACTAATTGTCTTCCTGGCTTTTGGAGAATGAGTCCGATTTATTTTTTTATAGTATATTGCTCAAGTAACTGAAGTGAGAAATATGTATCAGGCTTAACCATTATCAGGTCCTTTGCAGTGCAGAGTAAGTGAGAGCTCACGAAGAAGTGACAGACTTTGGAGTCTTAACTTGGCTTCATGCCTAAGTGTAATTTTAACTTTTTGTGACCTGAAACCCTGGCAGTTTTGTCTCCATAGACCCTTTCTAAGTTGCTTCTGCTTTAACAGAGCAGTTTTCGCTTGGTGTGCTGGCAGGGCAGCGTGTGACCCGCTGCAAGTAGTGGTTTGGGAGCCCAAAGCCTGGTGTGGCAGCCAAAGTTGGTCCCTTTTTTTGCTCCCAGTTTCAGTGGGGATCCTTGGCACCCTGTCAGCCCTCATTCAAGGAACAGTCTTGCTGCTGGGTTCTGTCTCAGACTCCTTTCCCCCCCGAGAACAAACACTTTGGCCATATCCAGTTCCAAGTCAGGGTATTCGTGCTTTATGCCAAATTTATTTTGGCTTCAGCCCAGCTCTGCGCTGGCAGGGGTAACGCTAAGCTATCTCTGAAGGTTGGAAGTGTGGTTGGAGCAACCTGAGCGTTTCTTTAAACCACCCCTGTCTGTGTTGCGAACAGGACTGCTTTTACGGGGGGGTGCCCTGTCCCTGGGCCACTCGAGGTTTCTGTGGGCTGTGCTTTGAAATTCAAACAGCAGCTCTGAAATTATTGTGGGATTTTCATCAAAGTGCCAACTTTTGTGACCCTGACATATCTCGATTTATTTTTTTTTTATTACTATTATTTTCTAAGCTTTTAAAAGACGTTTAGAAGACTTACTAATAAAAGTGCTGCTTCAAACTAGTGGCTTTTATTGAAACGTCTGCTCACTTCTTTCCCCTGATACAACGTTTTTTTCACATGTGCTCAGCATTTTGGTATCTGAGGATTAGATTACGCGTTACGGCTGAACTGATCTAACTCACTGTCATCAAAGGGGAGAAACCTGGCCCTTCCTTCCCCCCCACCTACAGCTGCACAGTCCCTCTTCTTCCCTTGTGCAAGCCCCTGGCTCTGGCACTTGTCATCTCCTTGGCCAGGATGGGTTTCAGTCCTGGCAGGAACCTGCTGCTTTTCAGCTGTGTTGGGGTGGTGGCAGGCTGGTTCCTTCAGAACTTGTGGAGCAATGCTCTTACCTTTGCATCCTGAATGTAACATCTGAAATGTCCTTTTTTTGTTTTTAATTATTTAGCCCTCAATCCAGTAAGTTTTTCTGAGCCCATCTGAAAACGCATTGGTGGTTTGCTACAGGTTTCCCCTAACCTTCTTAAAATGGAGAAGAGAGGTGTTCCCGCCTTCAGTATGGATGGGATGTGCACGCGGGAGGTGATTCTTCCCTGCATGTGGTGTTCTGCATTGGTTCAAGTCCTTCATGCTGCTGAGAGATAACGTTTCATCTGTTCTAGCTCTTTGAGGGTAACCCAGCAGGAACACACAGCCAGGCGGAGAGGGAAGGAGGGATGATTCTCTACGGTAGCAGCAAGGTCTTAATTCAGCCTAAAATGTTGTGAAACCATACCCTTAGGCATACCCTGCTTCAGTTTCTGAAACACCATAGATAGGATCTGTCCAATCACTTTTGGAGACTTTAAACACCCTCTGGTTAATAACTGACTTGCCCTGCTGTGCGGCAGCGCCCATGTGAAAGGCAGTGCCAGCTTTCACTCACCATTGTTTTGTTTTGTGAAGCTTTGATTATTTTTTTCACCTTACTTTTCAGATGAAAAGGTACTGCTTGGCTTATTCCCTGTCTGCCTGCTTCAAACTCCCTATTAAAAGAACAAGCTTTCGGATTCAAGAACGTTTTATAAACTTGAATTAGAAACCAGCTCCATATTGGGGTTTGGTTTCTGGGACTGTAATGCCCTAAGCCGGGTCAGCAAAACCAGAAATGGTTTGTCCAACTATCCTGTGTCTTTGTTCAGCAAAGTGTGAGTGATCTGTTTCTGTAGATATGTAGATAAAATAAAAATGAGCACTGGGAATTAAAACTTCCCCATGCTGCCCTGCTCTGTGAAAGCCATCCATCCTCCTCCGTAAGCCACCAACATGATGGACGGGCTCTCCATTTTAGCTTTGTTTGGAGGTCTC